CGCAATCTAAAAGCCTTCTTGTACCATTTAAATTTTCTGGAACGACATAAGACGATGACCATTTTCTGATGTAGAAAAAAATTCACTGGAAAAATTCATTTTAGAAATGTAAAATTGTCCTATTAACACGATATAACCTAATTTATATAAAAATGGAGAAACACAAGTCGCAACTTAACTATTCATTCAGTCTTAGAATAAAGTTCAGTAAGAGTTACTCCAGAACATATTTGATGTATTCTTAACGATAGTAGTGAGTTTCCTACTTTTAATTTTGTTCGAAATATACCAACGGGTACAAGCTTCTCGCTGTATCTTCCAATGTTTTTCAACGTTGGATGTTGCTTTCTGTATAACATTTCTAGATATTTCTGTTCTTTCATGTACGGTTCCAGGTAATGTTGAATATTTTGTTTCCAAAAAGTCCTTTTTTGACCTCTTATAAACTATCAAATAGCCTGCATACAGTATGCATGAGCCAGAACTTTCCACTAACACGAAAGAAAAACATACCATCAATAACAGTTTAATACTTATATAAATAAATAGAAAAAGGAACGGATGAAAAACGTGTATAAAATATCGAATAACAACAAAAACTCTTCATCGCTATCTCACGTGAGAAAAGTCATTGAAACTCATGACAAAGTCTTTATTCAGAACATTAAATTAAAAAGTTTACAACTTCAATATCTGCAAGTCACCGGTAATGGAAACTGGTGTCAGTCTCATAACTTTTAGAAACTTTAAAATGACGTAATTGATTAGAATGCGAAGTAGCGTTTAAACGTAAAACAAATGTTACAGGTAAAATAAAAGATAGAAAAAATAATAAATGAACAGAAAACAAAACCAAAATGAAATCAAAGTAGAATTGGCTACCTCGTATTCCTTCCCCGTTCGAAAACCGAAGTGATCACATTAATCACTGCTTATAAATTCCCAATTTTAGTATCCTTACTATTAATGATCTCATTATACTGACACCATGAATCCTGCCCAGTTTAAGTACATGTACCTTACAAAGAAAAGGCTTAGTGTTCTCAGATCTTCAGCTTCTCTACCTTCTGCTGCGATTCAGGTTACGGGAAGTTAAGTCCAAAGACCAGCAAAGTTGCTATAATTAATTAGATGAAGAGATTTGAAATAATGTGATTATTTATATACTCATTACCAACATTAACATCTATAAGTCACCGCTATGAGAAACTGATGTCGGTCTCATAATTAAAATTTTAAATTGATGTAAATAACTAAAATGCAAATTAAAAATTTACAGATTAACTAAATGATGATAGAATGAGAAATGACTAAACAAATTCAAAACGAAATAAAATTAAACTTTCCATTTCACACTCTTTCCCCTTTAGAAGTGATTACATTATTCATTTTAAAATTAAATCCTTACTTGTAACGTTATTCTGACATCCTACACGGTTTAACTACAGATATAGTACAAGGAGAAACCATTTTTATATATTCGACTTTCTATTTCGATTCTAGTTCAGCTTAACGAAGTTAGAGTTCTAAGACCAGTTAATTTGTAATAATTAACTAAATTTTGTACATACTCTTTACCAATATTAATATCTGTGCGTCACTGATATGGGAAACCGATGTTAGTCTAATAATTCACGTAAATTCAAAATTGACGAGATTAGCTAGAAGGTGAGTTAGCGTTGAAGTGCAAATAAAAATCCAGAGGTTAACTAAACGATAGAATGAATAATAAATGAACGGTAAAGAAACCCATAACAAAATAACAATAGAATATGCTATCTCACACTCCTTCCGCTTTAGACAAAGATTATAATATTACATCATTCCTTATAAATTTACAATTTTAGTATTCTTACTTTTAAGGCCATCGTTATACTGACATTATTTATCCCCCCCCCCACAGTTAAGTACAGATACTACGACAAATTGTTTATGTTCTTAACTCTTCAGATTGATCTTCTCTAGTTTCCTGCTGTAGTTCCCATTACATGGAGTGCTCGAGTTTGGAGACCATCAAGGTTGAGTAGATGAGATGACTCGTTAAGTCGAAGGATGAGATGTGGACACGTCAAAATAAGTTCTTATTGGAAATGGGGGGGGGGGGGAAGGCCCTTTCCAAGCCTTCTGTCACCACTTATTTTTCTGGAACGACATAGGACGATGAGCATTCTCTGGTACAGAAGTAATTGTGGATAAAATATTTCTCTTCATTTTAGAGAAATAAAATTGTTTTACCATTAAATATAAACTAACATGAAAGAATATATCATCAATATCAGGAATAATATTTCAATAAAATAAATTAGAATTAAAAAACATACACAACATCTAATAACTAATACACTTCTGCACTAACTCTCGTGAACAAACTCATTGAAGATTATGACAGGGTTTATAATCAAGAGATTAAGAATGCATTTTAACATTAGTTACACTCTTTACTAACATTAATATCAACAAGGTACAGATAGGAAAACTGACGTCAGTCTCATAACTCTTATGAACTTTAAATGACGTAATTAGCTAGAAGCAGAGTTAGCGTTTAAAGTAAACTATAACTTCTTAAACTAAATAATAGAAAGAATAATAAAATGAACTGAAAACAAAACCATAAAGAAATAAAAATAGAACTCGCTACCTCACACTCCTTGCACTTTCGAAAAATGAAGTGATTACATTAATCACTCCCAAGTTCAAATTTTTGTATCCTTACTTTTAACGACCGTGTTATACTGACATCATGAATCCTGCCCACTTTAAGTACATGTATATTACAAAGAAAATTCGTTCATGTTCTTCTATCTTTACTTTCTCTACCTTCTGGCTCAGTTTACGGGACGTCCTTGAGTTCAAAAACAAGCTAAGCTACAATAATTAAGTAGTTACAACTACTTATTAATTCTGGTTATTACTTACATACTCTTTATGAACATTAATATTTGTACCTGACCGATATGGGAAACTGGTGTCAGTCTGATAACTCATAGAATCTAAACGTTCATGCGATTAGCTGGGAGGTGAGTAAGCGTTTAAGTGTAGACTAAAAATTGACAGATAAACTAAACGATAGAAAGAATAAATTAATTGTAAACAAAACCATAATAAGACAATAATTTGCTACCTCACACTCCTTTCGAAAACCGAAGCGATTACATTAATCACTCCTAAATTCCCAATTTTCGTATCCTTACTTTTAACGGCCTCATTATACCAACACCGAGAATGCTTTACATTTTCAGTACAGATACCTTACAAAAAGAAATAATTCATGTTCTTGAAAAATCATCTACTCTACTTTCCTGCTCTGGTTCACTTTATAGAAAGTGCTCGACTTTCAAGACCCCTGAGGTTAAGCAGATGACATAGATGACTCATCAGCACGAGTCGAAGGATGAGATGTCGACACACCAGAATAAGTCCTTTATTTTGATGGAGGGGAGGGCGCAATCTGAAAGCCTTCTTGCGCCATTGAAATTTTCCGCAACGGCATAGGACGATGATCATTTCCTCTGGTGTCGAAAGAATTTTCACTGAAGAAAATTTGTTTCAGTCACATAAAATTGTCCTATCATTAACATGATATAATCTAATTTATATAAAAATGGAGTAACACAAGTAGTAACTTTGAATAGTCCATTCAATACTATAATAAATTTGAGTAAGATTTATTATAGAATATAATTGATGTATTAACGATGGTAGTGTGTCCGAAAGAGACTAACGGGTGTAAGCTCCTCGCTGTAGCTTCCGGTGTTTTTCAACGTTGGATATTGCCTTCTGTATAAAATTTATAGACAAGTCTGTTCGTTCATCTACGGTTGCAGGTTATGTTGGGTATTTTGTTTTTAAAAAGTCGTTGTTTGACCCCTTGTAAGCTATCAAATAGCTTGCATACAGTTTATGAACGAGTCCATAGCCAGATCTTCCCACTAACACGAAAGAAGAATATACCATCAATAACAGTTTAATATTTCTATAAATAAGTAAATAGAAAAGAAATGGAAGAAAAACGTGTATAAAACTTAAAATATCGAATAACAACAACACTTGCTCACTATCGCACGTCTTTATTCAAAACATTAAAAATTCATATTAACATTAACACTTTTAGGACATAAATATCTGCAAGTCACCGGTAATGGAAACTGGTGTCAGTCTCATGACTTTTAGAAACTTTAAATGACGTAACTGATTAGAATGCGAAGTAGCGTTTAGACGTAAAACAAATGTTACAGGTTAACTAAACAATAGAAAGAATAATAAATGAACAGAAAACAAAACCATAACGAAATAAAAGTAGAATTTGCTACCTCGTATTCCTTCCTCGTTCGAAAACCGACGTGATCACATTAATCACTGCTTATAAATTCCCAATTTTAGTACCCTCACTATTAATGATCTCATTATACTGACACCATGAATCCTGCCCAGTTTAAGTACATATACCTTACAAAGAAAAGGCGTAGTGTTCTCAGATCTTCAGCTTCTCTACCTTTTGCTTTGATTCAGGTTACGGGAAGTTAAGTCCAAAGACCAGCAAAGTTGCTATAATTAATTAGATGAAGAGATTTGAAATAATGTGATCATTATTTATATACTCCTTAACAACTTTAACATCTACAAGTCACCGCTATAAAAAAAAACTGGTGACGGTCTCGTAATTCAAATTTTAAATTTATGTGAATAATTAAAATGCATATTAAAAATTCACAGCTTAACTAAATGATGATAGAATGAATAATAAATAAACGATAAACAAATACAAAATGAAATAAAAACTATACTTACTACCTCATACTTCTTCCCCCTTAGAAAAACAAAATGGTTACATTAATCAGTCTAAATTTAAAAATTTTCACACCCTTACTTTTAACGCCTCCGTTAAACAGATATTACAAATTCTTCTCAGTCTAAATACAGATACCTTACAAGGAGAAGTATATTTTCTTGTATATTCGGCTTTACCTTCCGGCTCTAGTTCAGCTTAACGGAAGTTCTTGGGTTCTAAGACCAGCTAATCCGAGATAATTAAATAACAAATCATGGTTATAATTATAGACATACTTTTTACAAATATTAATATTTGTACGTGACAGATAAGAGAAACTGATGTCGGTCCCATAATTCATATAAACTAAGTATTGGTCTCATTAGGTAGAAGGCGAGTTAGCGTTTAAGTGTAAACTAATAATTGACAGCTTAACTAAACGATAGTAGGAACAGATGAAGTATAAATAAATCCATCACAAAATTAAAGACTGAATTTGCTATCTCGCACTCCTTCCCCTTTCGAAAAATGGAAGCGATTGCCTTAATCACTATTCCTAAATTCCCAATTTTCGTATCCTTACTTGCAACCCCCTCATTACACTGATATCATGAATCCTTTACAGTTTAAGTACATACCTCTCATGGAAAAATCCTTTACGTTCTTGAAACCTTGATTTTCCAAATTTTCTGCTCGAGTTAACTTACACGAAGTTCGAAGACTAACTAAGTTAAACAGGACAAGTTATTAGCAGGAAATGTCAAACGATGAAAAGTGGACACACTAGAACAAGTCCTTTATCTTGTGTGTGTGTGGGGGTGGGTGGGTTACATACTTTTAAACAAACAGTACATAGTCCTTTCCATCTTGTAGAAGACTTCCTTGCAAAAGTATTATAAAATATAATAGATGTATCCTTATTAATGGTATTATTAAAAAGATACGTACTTTGTGTCCGAGAAACTCTTACGGTTGTACTTAGACTTATCGTGCTCGCTTCCAAACTTTAATATTGAATCTTACCTCCCGTTTTAACATCTCGAAGTAATTCTGTTCGTTCATTTACGGATCAAAGTGTTAGTTGTTCCTAAAGTGTCCTTCTCAGACAATTTTTTTAACTATCACAGATGTCAACTATCAAAACTTTCAAACAAATCACATACAGTTAATAAACATGTCCATAACTTCCTACTAACAAGAAAGGACCATATACCATCAATATCACGATTAATACTCCTATAGCTAAAAAACATTAGGTTAGAAAAAACATAATCCCAAAATAACAATATTTACACAACTACAAAATTATTAAAACTTCCAATACCAGCCACGTATACCTTTTCACTACGTCTCGTAAATAAACTTGTTGAAACTCATGACAGGGTTTTATTTACTACATTAAAATTCACGTGATCGTTATTTACATACTCTTTTGTAACATTAATAATATCTGTAAGTCACCGCTAGGGGAAAATGGTGTCAGTCTTATAATTCATGCAAAATCAAAATTGATGTGATTATCCAGAAGTAAATTTAGCGCTTGATGTAAACTACAAATTTGACTAAACGATAGAGGGAATAATAAATGAACGTAAACAAAACCACAACAAAATTAAAATAGAATTCGCTACCTCACAACTCTGCAAGGCTGTCTACAGTTCGATGAAAACAAACAAATATAATAAATACAAAGTAAATGAAGTTGGAAATGAATAAAACAGAAAAAGAGCTATTTTTCTCCACTGGGCGTAATGTAAATGTACAATTTGTGCTAATTTTATCCCTGTGATTTTTATATCAAAATTATTTTTCATTTTATTTTAATATCGTAGTATTTTTTCTTACTTCAACTTCTGGATACTGCATGGCAGTATACCCTACCTAAAGTTCGATTAAAACAAATGAATTTAATAAATACAAAATAATTTAAGTGGCATTGAATAAAACGGAAAGTTATGTTTCTAGACTGAATATGAAACATTCTAATTCTTTCACGGTATTATTTATTTAAATATTAAGGATTTACTTCTTTTTCATTTTATATAAAATCCTATACTTTTTTTACATTTTCGCCCTACTTTAACGTTCAGCCATTGCATGACAGTATAGTCCACGATAAGAACTATAACAACAAACAAACTTAATAAATACGAAAGAGTTAATTGACTTTGCTGCACAAATGTGTAAATGGTAAATTAATAGTGCACCAAGTCAGAGATCCTTAGGGTTCTGATACAGACAACCCACATTATGAACTATTAACCAGAAGAAATGTAGCCAGATAGTGAAACCCATCACCTCATGGACTTTGTCCAGTTCATTCATTCAAATAAGGGATTTAGTGTCAGTGGTATAATATATCTATAAGTGAAAGCAGTGGCGTAGCAAGGGTTCTCAGCACCCGGGGGCAAAGACACTTTTGGGGCCCCCACCTTTGAAATGTTTTGATTATTTGTTTTGTGACTCATTACCCAGTTAACGAAAAGAACATAAAGAATTAATTACCGCCTTACACAGGACTAAAATAAAGTCACAATAAAACATCTCACGATATCACAACTGTAAACCTGGAACTAATGAAGTATAGCCTGCTAGGTGTACTTACATAATTTGTAAACTATTTTGATATTTATGTCATCTAGCTATGTGACTTTGAACAATATAGAACCGTTGGAGAACAATATAGGTATTTTGAATATCCTATAAGTATAACCGCACGTAAATACTTAAAATTCGTAATTTTGTGGAAGGCACTTCAATAACGATCAGCTCTCACATCTAGTCTCAACAGTTAATAGTTTCGTTTTGAGTTTACTTATTGATTGATATTTTATTACAATAAGATATTTCTTGTGTGGTTGAGAATGATCGCACCAGTGATCGAAAGTTCGTACCTGTTCTAAAAAAAATAATATTCCTTACTGTAAAAGCTATAATTTGTAATAAACTAGTTTCAAGCATGCAGTATAAATTTCTGTTATATCTCTAGTTTTGAAACTGATGTTTTATAAGAGAAGCCAATCACTTGTGGTGTACATGGATTATAAAACAGATTGATAAAATACCACTTAAGTTTACGACTTAAGATTGCGAGTCGAGCTTCCTAACCACCTGGCCATGCCGGGCCTGCCATTTACTGACATAAAATATCACCTGAGCACTTTTAATAAGCCAAATAATCAGTAAAATAATTAGTAAATCAGGATACAGAAACAAAAATGGCACACTTTTCTCTAGTTTATATTTTTTAGTTGGTCGTACGTATATTTCAAAACACGGTGCAATACCCTAATATTTAAGTTCAGATGTGCAAAGTCTAATAGCCTTCAATAGAACAATGTGCATGCATTTAAAGAGTATTTATCAAATGATACTTTTCATGCTATTTTTGCAGAATTGGAAGAAACAACTCATGGGTTAAATGTTTCGTTATAGTATTTATTAAGGTTTATTTATTGGCTAATTATTGTCTTGTGTGTTTCACATGCAACGAATTTGTTATTATATATTTATCTTAATATCAACGTTTGTTTAGATTAAATTTATATTTAGAAACATACATAGCTTATACTGTTAAATA